CCTTTGTTCAAAAATGAGCATGCTTGTAGGTAAGTGATTAGTGCGACTGACACTGATCGTGAATGGTTAGTAAGGATCTGAATCAGATGTCCTGGGTTCGACAACACTTCGAGCAGCCTGATGTCAAGCAGTAGTTACATGGTTTTTACTTGGGAATATACATAACAATATGATTCCAAGTGAGAATAGCCCTCACACGGCTTTGTTGCATTAAAAATAAGTCATCACTATAACACAATTGTTGGTATTTTAATCTATAATACAGCTACGTAGTAAATAAATAATTCATCACAACAACTTATAGAACCCTTAAGTTTTGATCGCTCAAATAAATAATGAAAAACTCAAAATTACTCGGAATATAGTCAATAGTAGTATCTCTGGTTTGCAATAGAGAGGTTCCGAGTTACGTGCAACCTGATATCAACCAGTAGTAATATGCATTTTTACTTGAAATTATGAAGCATAAATATGTTTTCTAATGAAAATAGCCTTTCCGAGCATCGCTGCGATAAAAAAGCAAGTAAAATACTAATTTGAAGTATGTAGACACAACTGAAATAGACAATCCATTGAGTTGTCTTCTCATGGTTGACCCTAAAATAAAAACACTAAAATAACAATAAATTACTGAATGTCTTAATAATATATAATAAGTTTTTATATTGAAGATATAATTTTAATTATTCATTACAAAATTGTATTTATCATTTTATCTACATTTCTTGACGGATTCGTAATTACAGATCCCGGCTGATCATTACCCACCCTCTTCATGAACTTACTTAAATATTGGTTCTGGTTTGCTTATAGCATTATAATCATATATATTAAACAAAATGACATTCATAGATTTTTTTATTAGCACTTTTTTCTAAATTCAGTCGATTTATCTGTGCTATTATGTTCTTATTTAAACTTAGCAATAATGCTATAGACTGTCCTCTATCTATCTTATAATGTTCCTAGGCTATCCATGCGTTTACAATTATTTTTCAATTATCCGACTCCTAAATCTAATTCTCTCTTAAATTCGCCTATTCTACTTATGTCCTCTAACTTTAACTTAGTTAATAATGAAATAGATATTCATAATCTAATCAAATAATCTCCATCTGCTCAAGTTAACCTTTTTATTTTCTTTTCAAATATCTTTCATTAATTTATCTTATTCTGTAAATAAATAACATTGTTACATTCTGTATTCTATGTAATTTTTTTGTTAAGCGCATTATTAATTTTATTATATATTGTAATTTTGTATATATGTTAATTGTTATCTATAATGTAAAATAATTGTATTTTTAGGTCCTTTCGGAAGAAATCTGTGGGCTATATATTTAAACAATAAATACATAAATAAATTCAGAATTTTACAAAGTGATTAAGTTCAATAATGCTACGTACTAGTAAGTGATATAAAAACCGACTCGAAGGGTCAATTATGGTGACGACCACTATGATTAATTAGATAATAATGAGACTGTAAATCATAAATATCCCGTCACCATGAGAAAAGTGAATAAATAACAATTTAGTTTACGATATATATTGATCTTCACTCTACAACCTTCTCCTCTCGTTACTTGTGCTAGTCTCAGTTATTATAAGTTATGGGTATTCATATCCATGCATTTATACCTCAAAAGTTTCCGGGTTAAATAGAAAAAGTCCTGGTCAAATCTTGACCACTATGCAAAACCTATCAATTTCCGACAATCTTAACCTCAGTCCATACAATGTTCAACATTAATTTAGCCAATGATGTCTATTTTTAGATGTGTGAATGGTATTACATCATTTTATTTATACCTCTATGAAAACCAAAATGATAACAATGGGAAGTTCAAAGCTAAAAAAGTGTTGTAGGGAAATATCGATGCCGACGGTGGAGAAACCTGCGCGTACCATGGAAGTCCGCCCGTACTTTACGCGTGAGAGCGCCTCGCGTACGAACCGTAAGTGACGCATTGAAAAAACCCAAATGAATCGACTCTCATTATCGATAGCACGGCGAATGCACTTTATGGCTTTCGAATGATCGTAGAATTAATTCGAATTTAACATAAGTTCCATAAATAATCAATAATTGTAGTATGAATTCTTTGAGATTTCTTGAGATTTGATGGAAATAATATGTAGGAACCACTGATGACACCAAACATGTATGTAGGCTCTTCCTGCTGCTAAACAAAGCTGTTACCAGAGCTGTGGAGACTGATCAGCAAAACAGATGATCAGATGCTAATTTTATGTTTTTTCGATGTTTCAAGTCATTCTGTTTTGTGTGAGACCAAAATTGTTTGTGTGACTGTGTATACGGGCCATAATTTGACCTTTTTTAAAAATTTTCTCTAAACAGTCATTTATCGAACTCGTGTTCTTCAAACTACTCTTTTTTTCAGTAAAGTGTAAAAAAATTATACACGTCTGCGTCAAAAATGCATATTCCAAAACTGTTCAAATAATATCAATTGTGGATAGTGCTAATTAGATTTTAGTAAATATCGGTAAGGCCGTTTCCTTGCTTTAGTTTTTAAACAAAATCAACGATTTTAATAAAACTGTGTTTCATAGTTAAGAGTTTTTGATCTAAAATCTAAAAGAACATCCTAAAATTTTATTGGTCTACAATTAAAATATTATTTAAATAACTAAATCTTTCAATTAATTATAATTGATTAAATCGATTATTTACATGTATCCGGTAGTTCATGTAACTTGCCTTGATGAGGCAAAATACATTTCAAACAATATATATTTCATACAGGGTATAGTGGGGTACAAAGATCAAATATACTGTACATCACAAAACATAACACGAGTCAAACAAACAACTATCGTACTATATTCAGCTGAATTCCCAGTAAATACTAATATAGAGAAGTGTTATTTTAATATTTTTCTAAAATTTAGCATCTCTCCTTGTTTACCCCATAGGCGGAGTAAGGACAGCTAGGATGCAAACAGATTCAGTGTCTCATTTTTAATTTTAAAAGTATTTTATGAAATAATAGCTCCAAAATTCAACCAATGCAGAATATAAATTTCATGGGCACATTTTTTACAAAAATAACACTGTCTATGATTTTGATCTCGTATTTTGTAGTCAATTTTCATCAGCAGATTTGGAATGCAAATTTGTTTTTTTTAACTGAAATTACATTTTTATTTACTATTTTATAATATTTACGCCTAGATTTTTATTTACTATTTTTTATTTTTTACCTTCACCATGGTAGATTATATATATAGGTTATATAGTATAGTTTAGTCGATTCTTTTTACCCCACCAATATGCAAGCCATTATAAAAGTCATATAAGTACATCTGTTGAATCTGACTTAAAATTAACAATACATCTTATAAAAGAATTAAATAACGAATACTTGAAAAATATAATTAGGTCTGGTAAACTAAATAATAGTACTGATAACGTCACAACTATAAAAACTACAACAAAAGAAAATACTTATGTTATAAAAATAGATTTTCAAACATGGTCTGATGGCTTATTACACGTCTTTTGCTTTCTACTTCCAAATATTGTTAAAAAATTCTTAGTTTTATTGTTTTTGAGATATTGGTGGTGATTCTCTGTCATATTTTAAACAATATATAACAATATTAAAAGATTTTTTAATTACTAGAAAACTAACTAACTAAACTAATTAAACTTTTTTTTTTGTTTTGTACAAGAAATCATAAAATAAAACTAGTGGTGTATGGCATCGTGCCTTAAGGCAAATTCTTGGAACTTTCCGTACCATAACGAAATGTTCAAGGAATATTAAATGTTTTAAAATAGATTATTATAAATACTGTAAGATTGTCTAATATTTATAAGAATTGCATAAACTGAATTACAAAGTTAAAATTATTTATTTAGAGTATATAAGTGAGCTTTAGAGCTTTAGCCACATTAGAATTAAAATATGAATTATTTTTGATATACAAAAAAAATTGGAAAAAAATATTTGAAATATTTTTTTCCAATAGCAATTATTATGCCAAAGCAAGCAGAAAGTTTTGTGAATCATTCAAATCGGATGCTCTGTTCTCTTAAAAACTCGATTTATATTTTCTGCTCTCTTGCTCGGTATGTCCGTAACGGCTGGACTTGCCTTTGCCAAAAACTATTCAGCATATCTCCCTATCAATAGGAATCAAACCATTCAAATCGGTTGATCCGTGCGCCCAAAAACGTAGACAAAAAATGCGGACATACAAAACACACACACACACATATCCATTTTTTCTGAGGCTTGTCAAAATGATCAGAAACCTCTAAAACGTGAAGATATGCAAAAATTTTAATTTTCGATTTTTGGCCCATTACTATAACTTATCCTAAGGGAAGTTAAAAAAATCTATTTCATGATTCTTATATGTTCTAAAATAAACTATAGAAATCATGAAAAATGAATATGCGCACATATTGATAATTTGGCATTTCGAAAAAATTGAATTTTTCGCAAAATATGTTTAATATTATTATAATATTTGCATATGAATATTTATAACAATGATAATAAATAAATTTGTGAATTAACTAACACAGAGAAACACACATTAAACACGTGATCTACAAACTTCTATGCAATTCAGTACACGTAATGTTATCATCAAAACAGTTTTCGATCGCAAATCATACCAATTAGCTGTTTCTCGTGCTATTCGAAGTTTAATCTTTCTATTAAAACTGATATAACAGAAATAAAAACAAACCACATTTAAAGATTGAATATGTTTACACATTGTAGGTACATATATGTGCGAGTACGTATCACGGGCACGGACACCGTCACCGAATCGGCGAGGCCGCGCAACACGACAGTGCGGTAGTCCATGCCAACGCGCGGCGCCGCTAGCAACTGTATTCGTGCAATTGGAAAATTAATCAAAAGAAATATCACCTTAATAATTAATAATTTATTTTAAATTATTTTTGACAGTTAGATCAGTCTAGAAAATATTTAAACAAATTATATGTGAGTGCATGCGTAATTTAATTTCCCGTGAAAAACAACAGTGAAAAATTTGAAAAGTTGTGTTAAAAATTTGAAAAGTTTGAAATACCATAATTGTGTTAACTGTTCTATACAGCTGGATTAACGTGTCAAAATATTTGTGCGTTGCATTATAGTTACAGTTTTACTTGGATACAGCTGAACAATGCAGTTACATTTCTAACGTATGTTACACATTTAAAAAAAAATAAAATCATTTGTAATCATTTAATTTATCAACTAAAAAATATTTTAATAATATATCGCATGTGTAATTTTTCACTTCCTACGATAAATAACTCTGTAAAAAAAATTATTTTAAACTAAAAATATTTATTTGGGTACATATTACTGTTAAGCAGACGTCCGTTAATCATGAGATCGATTTTTTTCAAGGATTTTTGAACACCCCCTCCCCCTTGGTGATACGTGGTGATATTCAAAATTAAGATTTTTGATTTTTTTTGAAAATGTTTGAATAAAAAAAGGTATCTTGATATCTTACTACACCCCTCCCTCCCCACGTGATATTTTGTAATTTTTTGTCAACACCCCCCCTCCCCCTCACGTGATTAATGGACGACCACTGTTAAGGTAGCCGGACATACATCCCGGTTTGGCCTGGACAGTCCCGTATTTCCACCTTGTGTCCCGGGATTTTCTAAAAGCAATATTTGTCCCGGATTGTCCCAGTTTTTAGAATATTAATAAGTAAATTAAGAAAATAAACTTATTTTTGTTTAAATTATAAAGAAACTTGTACATAATTAACTTCTCGGCAGAGAAGTTTATGTTTTTTTATACAAGGTTCAACAGTGAAAAAAAAGCAAATAAATCGAAAAATATAATATAAAATTATCGAAAAAAATATAGGGTAAGGTGGGTCCAATTTTACTTTGTTAGAGCCCTTACATTGTGAAAACGAAACCAATTATATCACAACAAATAATGCACATATCAAACAAACACAAACAACTATCTGACTATGTTCAGTAAAACTTATAGCAATTCATTATTGTAAAAATGTGTTTTATACTGTTTTTCAAAATCTTGTAACCTGGTTCTTTTTATCCTATAGACGGGGTAAATTGAGACAACCAAGTCCCATGCCTTATTTTAATTTTAAAGAAATTTTAGAAAATAATAGCTACGTTATTCAACCAATGCAAGATATAAATTTGAGTGCATTTTTTTCAAAAAATAACAATGTAAATAACCTTGATCTGGTATTTCGTCAGCAGAGTTGGAATAATGATTTAATATACAATTATCTCTCGCTTGTTTTTTTCATTGTATTTTTAAATAGCGTTTGTTATTGTAAAGCTCCCCCCCCCTTCTCCAGGATTATTTATAACTAAAACTAGCAGTCGCGGTTTTGGCTTAAAATATGGTCACCTTATTATTAATCAATAAAAAAAAACTTTATAAGCATTAGTAAAAGGTAATGATTAATAAACTTTGATAAGAAAAATGTAGAAGTATTTCAACACTATCATTTTTTCTAATCATTTCCATTATATTTTTGCACAAAACATTGAATATTTTGAAACATATACATAATCTAGAAGATTTTTTTCTAAAATGGATAGCACACATATAAAACTTTAACGTTAGTTTAATTATTATGTTTTAGCTATTCTTTCTGAACCATCAACTTAAAGTTGATTTATATTTACTATTTGCCCAATTATCTAGAACGTGAAACACAATCTAGTTTAAATTGTTTTTCTGGACATAAACACGTACATTTCTGCAAAAATGCTTAAAAAACAACAATTAAATATCATTCTATTAATAAAACGCTCTTCCGAGAACATCTCATTATTGCACATGTTTTTTCTGATAAACATGTCCAAGTCTGATAAGGAATTATGAGTTCCGTTGTATTCGTGACATCTTTCATATGCGTTCATTTATTTTCATGATTAGGATAAGCCTAAATAAATTAAGTGGAAATTCCAAATATATTTGCTAAATATAGAATAATATTCTGAAATTAACTATAAATGTATTACAAATAATTTCAGATCATTTATAATCGTAAATATATTGCTACTTGATAAACTTTAACTTTCTGTATTTTAATTTAACGAATTCATTATTGAAATTTTGTTCTATGAGCATGACTTTACATTTTTAATAATGGACTGATTGATAAATTGGTATAATTTAATCAAGTTAAAAAATTGATTATGATATTCAGTGCATAATAATAATAAACTAGTGGTGTATTGCATCGTGCCTTAAGGCAAATTGATGGAACTTTCCGTACCGTAATAAAATATTCCAGGACTATTAAATGCTTTCGAATAGATTATTTTAAATACTGTAACTTACATATGTTTACTGAAAAGTAAATAAACAAAACTCAATTAATTGAGTTTAAAATGAAGGACATTGTCTAATATTTATAAGAATTTTATAAACTGAATTGCAAAGATAAAATTATTTATTTGAAGTATATAAGTGAGCTTTAGAACTTTAGCTAAAATTAGTAATACTATCCGAATTATTTTCGATATCCAAAAATTTTTTTTTAATTAAAAAAAAAAAAATCTTTTTCCAAAAGTAATCGTTTCGTCCACACAAGCTGAAAGTTTTTTGAATCATTGCTGCGTTCTCTCATAAACTCGATTTCTATTTTCTGCACTCTTTGTTCCGTATCTCCGAAACGGGTGAACCTGCCTTTGCTAAAAACTAATCAGCACATCTCTCTATCAATAATAATCGAATGTATTTTAACCATTCAAATCCGTTGATCCGTGCGCCCGAAAACGTGGACAAAAATCGGATTGTATATATATATATATACATATTGTATATATATATATATATATATATATATATATATATATATATATATATATATGTGTAGGGTAAAAGCGGGGCTTAACGGTCCTACATCTCAAAAACAAGTAAAGTTAAAATATATGTATATAGATATATATATATATATATATATATATATATATATATATATATATATATATTGACGTCGATTAAAGAAACGAACACGAACAAAAACTTAAAAGCCATAAATATATTAATATTATTGCTTCTTTTTAACCGATGAATATTATAATAATAAAACAAGACACGTATGAATGGCATGTCACATTTTAATGTAAATGACTAATTAATATGAAGAGTGGTCATAAAACATAAAAATTAAAAAATGAATTATGGCTAAACTTAAGACTTATGTAATAACCGATACTTTTTTAAATATGTATAAAACTTATGGAAATGATTTCAAGGAAAAATATCCTCACAATAAACATACAAGTTTTCAGTATAATATCTACAAATAAAAGTCACAATTTGGAAAATCTAAACTAGTGGTGCGCATGGCATCGTGCCTTAAGGCAAATTGCTGGAACTTCCCGTACCAAAAATGATTATTTTTTTAAAAACGATTAACATTTTTGAAAAAATTTTACTTCGAAAAAGTTAGATTTTTGAGAAACTATAAATTTGACAAAAAATTACCATTTTTTGAAAAAAAATTTTTTTTTTGAAAACAAAAGAAAAATTTGAAAAAAAATGTTTTCTTCATTTTGACATATTTTGGAAATTCTGAACTTTTTTTCAAAGCAATCGTAGTGCTTGAACTGCATAGAAACGAAATGTCAAAGCGCGTAAGTGCCGCGCCGCCGTCTAACGGATAAGCATTGGTACGGAACCCATAGAAATGTAAAAAAAAATTATACTTATTGTTAAAATCTCTATAAAATATCTGATAATTTAATGTGCATATGTCTAATGATCATTTTTGACCGCCAAATGACTTTTTTTTACTTTTTTCATTAGATCTCCGAAACCGCTAAACCATGAAAATTTGGTCAATTCTTCATCTTGTCAATACAAGTAAAATGTTTTTTGAATTATTAAAATCGGACGCTCTGTTCTCTTAAAAACTGAGTTACCATTTTTGGCACGTTCTGCCCTGTATCTTCGGAACGGCTGGACCTGCCTTCGCCAAAAACTAATCAACACGTCTCCTTATCAATACGAATCGAATGTTTTTTTAATTATTCAAATCGGTTGATCGGTGGTCCCGAAATCGTCGACGAAAATTTGCATCCGCACACACACACATACACACACGCACACACACACATGCATCCATTTTTTCTAAGGTATGCCAAAATGTTCAAAAACCTTTGAAACGTAAAGATGAATAAAAATTTTCATTTTCGATATTTTTGCGATTACTATAACTTGCCCTACGGGAAGTTAAAAAATAGGTGTAAACTAAAAACTTCGATTGAAGAACAGGATAAATTTGTTGGTTGGGTTTTTATCATATTTTCCTCTGAAGTTCAATTGGAGTTTCACCGCTGTGCGATGATTTTTACTATACTTGCAATCAAAAAATTAAACGTAGTTACAATAATAGTAATTTAAATATCGTTCATGTTCAAATTGAGTAATTATAAATTTCCAAAAGAAAAAGTTTACGTTCTAAAATTCTAAATTATTTCACACCAAAATTGGAAAAGTGTGCGTGCGTATGTGAGCTAAAATTTGACCTTTCGTCTATGTTTTCTCAAAAAGGGCTGCACCAATTTCAAAAATTTAAAAGCAATTTAATGAAACTCGATAAGGAGTCGTGATGATTAATTTTGGGAAATGTTTCTTTAAAATTATCAGAAAAGTGCAAAATTTCTTGACCACGCTTTCCCAAAAAATCCTAAACCGATTTTAAAAAATTTAAATTGTTTGATAGATGTCAGTTACGAATAGTGCTGATTAATTAATTGGCCGCCCGTTTCTTAGCCAATAAATTTTAAAATACAAATATCACGATTTTGACGAAACTTTCTAGGATGGACATACATTCGTGGGTTTAATGAAATTTTTTTATTGATATTGATTGAGCTCATTATTTTCTCAAACCGAAAAGTTTTTACAACTTGCCTTAAGGCAAAATAAAACTCACACTTAGTTCAGTAATCATTTAATACGAGGGTTAAATCTATAAAGAAAACTGTATAGGTTAAATCGGAACCTAAAGATCCGCGGAAAAAAGTCTACCAAACAAGTAAAGTAAAGAATTTTATAACAATCTTTGAAAGCAGAGGGAAAAGATGTGTAACCAGCCATCGGCAAGCAGAGGTGCTATCAGGAAATAAAAGGCTATGTTTGAAAATTTATAACAACATTTTTTTTTTTTTTTTTTTGT